TATCCTGAACTATCTCCATAGTTATGCTGCTATAGACTTGGACTGCTGGAACACATAGTGACCCCTATTTCATCATCTCTGTTGTCTCACTCTGCCGAATCTATTATTTCAATCTCTAACGTTCTTTTCTCTCTGCTTTTTCCCATAGTTCGGCTGTTTTTCAGTGTAGTCCTGTTTCTCTGACTGTGACAGGCTGGATGTGCTCTCTTCATCCTCTGACATGGGAGCTGACTCGGAGCTCATTTGCCTAGCTGTGTGTTTCCTGGACGGGGCCGCCTTTTACAGCTGCTTTTTATATCTCTGCTTCTGTCTCCTTGAACCGCAGTCGGCCTCGGCAGATGGCCGCTCACACCGAACCTGGTTCTGCTGGAGGTTTCTTCCTGTTCAAAGGGAGGTTTTCCTCTCCACTGTCGCCACAAGCATGGTTAGTGTGAGGGATTGCATCCAAGTCAATGAGTCGATGCAATCAACTGGTTTTCCTTAGATAGAAAACTTTGAATCAATTTGGTGATCTGGTGAACTGTGCCTTGAGATGACATGCGTTGTGAATTGGTGCTATAGAAATAAACTGAATTGAATTAAATACATAAAAATCAAAGCTAATTGAACTCCTTTACCCAAGCAAAACTTTCAGGTTCTGAAATGTACTAAAGAAAAAAAAATTATTTCTAACTTCAGTGATCCACATTAACTCTGGTTATCATTTAAATTAAATAGGATATATTTTTCTCTTTTACTCAAACCCTAAAAAGTGTTTATTTCTGATTTGTGGGAGAATCCTCTGACCAGCAGAAGCTTGTATTTTTCAGACTGAAGCAAAACACGTCAAACCGACTATGAATCAATCTTGAAGGCGACAACATTTAAATGCTTTAAATCCGGCCCTAAATAGGAAATGGTTTGGCTTTTCCAGTCTGTCATCATCACCATGATTTCACTGTAGAGCTATTAATCCTTCTCTCCGTGTCACCAGCTGTTCTTTCTACACGCCTTCTCTCCTCTCAGGTGATGCATTTTTTCACATTGTTCATTTTTACATTATGTCATTATCAGCACGTGTGAAATAAATAAGGCAGTTTATGACTTGGATAATAGCGCGTTGCGACAAACACCAGATACAGCGCTGGGACTTGCTCAACAGCCGATACCGCCCCGTGACGTCACAAACCAGTAGGTGGCAGTAGTGTTCTTTGACAAACATGGATGCCTCCAGTAAAGCACATTCACATGAAAATTACTTTTAATTAAAAACACTGATCATTTATTGAACAGGATGTAAATAATTTCATGCTTAAAGTACTTTAAGAAGTTTGAATTCTGAATATGATCAGACTTTTAATTAAAGTAAGGATGCAATTTTAGAGTATTTTTCCACTTCGTTACTTTCTGCCTCTGTTGAATTGTAAAATAACAGCATATTGATATTGATTTAATGGTTTCAAAGTTTTTTTCTTTTTTTTTTCAGGCTTTATTTCTTTTCTTTATTCTTTTCTTTTTTCTCCAAAAGTTTAGTTCAGAGGTCAGGGATTAGCGGACTGCGGTCCGGATCCCACCTGCTGGCTAATCTGGACCCAACCTGATTTAAAACATTTATAAATGACTGCATGTTGTCCGTCGAAAGTGTCTAACTTCACTTGCGCTGCTTCTCCTGTTAATACGGTAAAGCCCTCCGGAGTGTCCGACTCCAGGCTGAAACCCAATGAGCTGCTGTCAGTCTGGGTTGCTGCTGCTGCTACTTTTAGACACAGGAGGCAAACCTGTGGCAAG